AGAGCTACGAAAGATTAACAGTCAGAGCCTCGTGGGATCTTATCTGAGTATAATTATACTCAGTTTGGTTAATTAACAATTCCTTCCAACTGGTACATTCTTAAACCCCATGTTAGATGATTTCATGTATTATTTAGTATTCAAGCAATACTTATTTCTGTCTGTGGGAAAGATTTGAAATGCTCTGTTGTCTTTAAATATTAACTGCAGACTCGGGTCTGAATATTACAGACAGGTGAAAAGATTTCATAATCAGAACAAAATTCTGTAGGATTGAAACACTTGACTTTTTCTTTTGTTTGTGTTTTTGAGTCAGGACCTTGCTGTATAGTCCAGGCTGCTCTCAAAGTCTAACTCCTCCTGCCTCCTGCTGGAAAACGATGCTGTTTTCTCTTCTATCAACCAGACGCGTCCTCAGGAGTGTTATTCCACCATGTGGCCACACGATGGTGTGATGAGCCCATGGAATAACGAAGGTTTTCCTTTCTGCCTGAATCAAGTGATAGGCTTCGCTAAGGGAAACACCATGCTTGCTAAAGAGAGTCAATCTTAGTTTTTCGTAGAATTAGCAATAAGACAGTGGCTTGATTCAACTTAGTCAAATGGTTGTTTAGGATAAGAGTCATTCACCCCCTCATTAAAAACGCTGGAGACAGGAAGCCACCGGACGTCACTGATATTTGTGGGATTTTGTTGAACTCTTTGATTTACTGTAGAAACAAAGTCCCATTTACCATTCCTGCTGTGCAAGAATTTCAAAGATTGATGTGATGGGAAGGGAGCAGGCAAAAGCCCTTGACCTGAGTTCCGCCATTTTGACATCAGACTCCATTTTCCCTGCAGGGTGAGATAAAGTTCCTGTTTCCAAGTCCTAGGGGAGTTGAGAACTTTCCAATAGCTGATCAACCTCCTCCCTAAGCCACAGAAATAGCCGTTATTCATCTTCAGTTCTTTAGAAACATTATGGCTGTTCCCAACAACGGAGAGGACAAATGAATCTGATTGGTTGGACTGAAAAGCTTGCATTGTATGTCAGTTGACAATGACGGAACACACAAGGAAAGTCCCTACTCTTTGATTTCTGATTAGTCAAAATTGCAACTGTAACTTGGCAACAATGTTTGTGATTTTTATGCTTATAAATCCTGTTTCTACCCCACTTGGGGCTGTCCCTGATCAATCAGCGACCTGCTTATAGGGTGACTTCTAAAATCTCTGGAACCCATAAGTCTTGTGTCTCCTTCCTTGTAGCACATATGGGCTAGGTGTGACGGATGTAATTCTCTAAGACCGAGATCGCCATCGTTTGAGAATGTGACATAACATAAAGCAACCCTCCAGCACACGGGCGTCAGACGGTGCTCCTTACCTTCCGATGCTGACTAAACTTTAAGGGGGAAGAACGCTCGTTTCTCTCCAGGTCCCAGGAGGCCTTGTCCCCGGGGATTCCCTGACTTAGCCTAGAGGAGTCCCACAGTGCTGCTGGCCTCTCATTCTGCTTCCCTCAGCTCCTGAGCCCTTGAGATTGTTGCTAAAATAATGCCAATGAGGCACACGGAGTGTAGAGTGGAAAGTGGATACAGTTTATTACAGGACATGAGGTCACCTGAGGGGTGCTGGAGAGCAACGGCTAATGGGAGCAAGGAGAGTAAGAGCTGACAGTGGCGAGAGAAACCATTGAGCTAACCTCCATTTTTAGGTAGTTCTGTACTATCTCTAAAGTCTATAGAATAGACAGCTTTCTGGAGGAGCATTTTGCTGTTTGGGTGATTGACAGGGACACTTGGATTGGCATGCTTGAGAGTGAGCAAAGACACATAAAACCTGGGGCTAGGTAGGAACTTTATGTTTAGATTCCTGAAACCGGGTTTAGATAGTTATCAATTAACAACTTTCAGAGAAGTTCAGGACATCGAGTCTCTTCCCATAACCAGTGATAAGAATCGGATCCCATCCACTAACCAGTGAGAGTTTTGCTGCTGCTATTCTTGGTTTTACAAGTCAATGGTTCTGGTGGGAGGGGGGAGGGGGGAAAGGTTTAGGAATGGTGCGGGAGTAATCTGGCCCTAATGCCTTCAAGTCTGCCAATATTTATTTAGCTTGCTATCTAAAAATAGCCTCTATTTGCATTATGCCCTGAATTATTAGAGTCTTAGGGTAGATATGTTGAGATTCCAAGATTTTCACTCCTCTTAAGTGATACTGTTGGTTCGACAGTGGGAGAAAGCCATCCAGCAGGGCTGGGGAGATGGTTCAGTGGATAAAGAACTTGTGGCACAAGTGTGAGGACCGAGTTCGGATCCCCAATAGCCTTGTAAACATCAGGAGGATGTGCAGCCACCTGCAGTTCTAGCTTGAGAGAGGCAAGACAGGGGATAACCGGATCAAGCTGGCTAACCAAGTTGGTGCCCAAGTCTAAGTGAGAGACCTCACCTCAATACATGAAGTGGAGAGCGGTTGAGAAGGACACCTGACATTAAATGCTTGCTCCCACATGCACACATGTGCATGGCTGTCCATTCACACATGTGCACTGCAACACGTACAACACATACATGCAACCCCCAAACACACACGCTCTTTCAGATTCATGAAGCAAAAAAAAAAAAAAAAAAAAAAAAATCCATCCAAGCATTAAACTGAAGTGCAGGGATAATTTCAGTGATTTACCCCATGATGGGGCCTCTTTTCCAATTTCATCTATGTTTCTTCTTAAAAAGATTTGTTTTTAATTATGTGTATTGTATGTGGATTTGTGCACATGTGAGCGCAACAGCGTCAGAGGCCAGAAGAAGGCAACAGCTCCCCTGAAGCTGGAATTAAGGCAACTGTAAGTCACCTGACATGGACGCTGGGAGCCACACTCCAGCCCTCTGCGAGTACCATATGCTTTCCTAACCACTGAACCAGCCCTCCAGCCCCATGAGCTTCATATTTCTGAAACTCTGAATCAGAGTCCCTGGGCTGATGACACAGGACTCCGTTTCCCTAGTCCAAACCCTAGCAGTCTTTTGTTTGCCGTTCATCTAGATAGTCAAGCTCACTTGGGGAGTTCTGCCACAGCTGGTAATACGCCTGCTGGGGAAACGGCAATCGTGACCTTAAACCAGCAGGCCATTCCCTTGGGTATTTTCTTTCTTATTGGTGTTAGAAAGTCTCCATTTTTCCAGACTTGGCTTGTGACAAACTAGTCCCCCAAATCCACGTCACCATCTATATCAATATTCACTTTACGATGGGTAGCCAAGCTGAGCACCCACATAGCATGTGGTTTTGGCTTCTTGCTTATTTCATTCCTGTGAAGACGTGAGCCTCTAGAACCTCTGATGCCTATAGTTGCGTAAAAAGCTTCATATTCCCCTGTGTGTCTCTCACGCAAATTCCACGGGGTCACTCCTGGAGAGGTCGTGTTTACTTGGGAGAGGGAAAAAAGGATCTCAAATATTTTTAGTGTAAAGAAATGATAAATGTTGAAAGACAAAGATTCACCTTGGTTTGAGCATTGTCCCATGTATAGAAAAGCCCATGTTGAAAGATCATAATTCACAAATGTGTCCAACTTTTAAGTATTAGTTTGATAACAGGAGGAGAAATGAGCTAGCAGATACAATAGACCCAGGCCCAGCGTCTTCGGACACAGCAAGACCCTACCTGCTCAGGAGCTGCTACCAGCAGCTTGGTTTTAAGTGCTCTGACCCATTGAACACTGGCTTCCCAGTTTCCATCTCTATATATCTGTGAGACTCTAGGTATCTCGGTGTGCTACCCCTGCACGTCTGTGACTGAATTCTTTCACTTGCTGAAGGCTTGTGTCTCTGAGGCTCGGTGATGTCAGAGCTTGTGTCAGAACAGGCTGATGGGTATTCCACTGCACACCCACACAACACCTTGTAAACCCCCTCCAGCCAGGGCTGAGTGACAGGTCTGGCTGCTGTGGATGACACCACTGTGAACACGGGCTTTGAAACATCTGTTCTTTGGGGATATCCCTGGGAGAGAAGCTTGGGATGTGACTCTGAGTAATTACCACTCTGTGCACTGTCTTCCACAGTCCCTGCAACCACTTCCTGTTCCTACCAGCGGTGTGAAAGGCCCTGACTGGGTCCACTCGTGACATTAGTTACTCTTGTTTTGAAAGAGCATGCGTCCTCAGAAGTCTGATATGATGGCTCATTGTAGTTTGGAATCGAATAGGCTGCCATAGCCAACTTTTCATGTCGGTGCAGGAATCTGAACTCAGGTCCCCACACTTTCACAGCAAGCATTTCACCCATGGACCATCCTCCCAACCCAAGAGCATCTTCTTAGGTGCTCACTGGCCATTTGTATACTTCTTTGGTAACATGTCTGTTCGGGTCCTTTGTCCTGTGCTCCATCCAGATTTTTGTTCTTGTTCTTGTTGTTGTTTGGAGGTTTTTTGTTTATTTGTTTTCAAATATTGCTTTGGTATGATTTATTTGATGTTGTATGGGTACCTTACCTGCATGTATATCTGTGAACCATGTGTGTGCCTGGTGCCTAAGGAGGCCAGAGGATCCCCTGGAGTTACCAATGGTTGTAAGTCACTATGTGGGTCCCCTGGAAGAGCAGTCAGCGCTCGTAACCACTGAGCCATTTCTCCAGTCTCTCCGACCAGTTTTACTGAGCTGAGATTGACAACGACTGAGCATTCATGAAAGGAATCCCAAACCTTCTTGCATTTTTATGATGCTATTAGTTCATTTCTTTCTAACAGAGACATTTCTAGGCAAGACCCATGTCTGGAGATTGCTTTTAACACTATTACTTTTCTCGTTGAGTAAGTGACTCATTCATTGTCATCTGTCCCACACAAGGTGTCAACTGGCTAAACTTCGTCTTTGCTTCTTACTGTGAGGCGGCCTGCTTTGCTGGGAGTGTTGCTGAGCTATCTCCAGCCCTCACACAGCACCCCGAGCTGGGACTCCTGAGGCATGGCATCTTTCTGCTTGGCCAACCTCAGCTTTTAACCATATCTTTCAGGTCACTGCCCCTAGCCTGGCCCATTTCCAAAGCTGACAGAGGCAGGGCCCTGCTATGCTGCAGTGATTCCCACCCAGTCACACACAACACAGCCCTCCAGGCTCTTGAGCATGTCCGTCACAAAGCCGCACTTCACGACCGTGGTCATCCTGCTGATCCTGGCTGACAAGACGACAGGTAACTCAGGTCTCCCTCAGGTTCTGGGGTCTCACATGTACAACTGGTGTCTCAGTGACCTCTGAAAAGTCATGTATCGTAGGTCAGTATCACAGGTAGGTTGCAGATGACACAGGACCAGCTGTGTGAATAGCCCCCTTCATTCTCTCTCACGGCAGACTTAAGGTTGTTGGCCTGTGTTCCTGGGAAGCATGAAGGGCACCAGGGAGTGCTGTAGCTGGGATGGGAACCCGAGTCTTGGTAAAGGTGTGGAAGGTTGGGAGGAGAAAGGACAAGTTGCACATGGCAAAGAGAGTTGGGGGTTGGGGCAGGGATTGCAAGACCATAGAGGGGGATTAAAAAAGTGAGTCTGGCCGAGCATGAGACAAGCAATTCTGCTGTGGACTCAGGCGTGGCTGACGTTCTGATGTCATCTGGAGAGCAAGCGCTGTTTGCTGCTGAATGGAGCTGGGAGATTAGTGAAACCAGGAACTGGGGTAGAGAGGGGTCTGTGGTTCAACTCTGCCAGATGATGCTGTGAATGGGGGCTTGGATGACTTTTACTGAGCGTGTTCATGTTTGATTTTGTAAGCAAGACTTGACTGGTTATCAGATGGGAAGAGTTTGATTGACATTATTTGTTAATGGGTATCTCACCAAGGCCAGGTATATTTATCTGGATTAGCCTACATTGGGGGGTGATCCTTGAGCTTCAGTAAAACCCCGAATTCATCAAAGCAGGACTGTAGCTGTTACTGATGAGGAGAGCTGCAGATTCACAAATATACTGTTGGTGACTGTGTTTCCATGCGCTGGTAATTCTCCTTACTGCACAGGATTTAGGTTGAGGTGCCATCGATTTCTAGTTTTGTTGTTATGCCTGTGCTTTTGAGATCAATGCAAATAAACTGTTGCCAAGGCCACTATCAAGACTCTTTTGTCCTAGGTGGTATTTTGGGAGACTTACAGTTTCAATTCCTAGGTCCATTTTGAGTTGAGTTTTGTCGGAGGCATAAGGGTCTAACTTCATTCTTTTGTGTGTAGATACACAGTTTTCCCAACACCGTTCACCAAAGAGGTTATCCTCTTATACAGTAACTGCCCAAGCGACAGAAAGTATTTACACCACACACTCTATTTTTAAAGTGGCATAGGGACCTGGAGCAGTGGCACTGCTCATCCCTAATCCCTGCATGGGGGAGACAGAGGCAAGCATAGCTCTGTGAGTCTGAGTCAGCCTCATCTATACTGTGAGTTCCAGGACAGTCAGAGAAAGACGCTTTCTCAAAACAAAACAAAATAAAATAAAAGATGGCTTAGAGAAGATCTCTGCATAAGAACGAGTTTATAAACAAAAATAATATTAAATAAGGCTATTGGAGGAAATCTTGGGTGGTGATAGAGAGTGGCGATAGTTTCATAGGTTTGTATTTATCTCCAAACTCAAGATGTATTGTTAAATATGTGTGGTCTATTGTGGAACAATAATGCCCCCAGCCAAGTGGCTTTAAAAATAAATGGGAAGAATAAGTTGGGAGAAAATATCTATTATTTTCCAAAGTGGAGGAAGATTTTTGAGTGTGGGTTTTAGTCACACTAAAGAACAGTGCATAACTCTAGGCACTGAGAACAAATGACACCAGACAGGGGTTCTCTGTGTAACAGCTTCAGCTGGAACCTGCTTTGTAGACCAGGCTGGCCTCGAGATCTGTCTGACTCTGGAGCACCGGGATTAAAGGTGTATGCCACCACACCCAGGAAAGGGGATGTTTTTGACGTGTCTCTTGTCAAGTTCTGACACATGCAGAGACACTGGGCACAGTTTTTGACCTGGCACTGTGGAAAACATGGGTGGTTCCCTCATTCTGAGTGACTTCCGAGTCCCTGTATCTAGAGTTGCTGTCCTGCCTTAGCATTTTCTTCTCCCCGTTCACCTATTGTTTCTTCTTTATTTCTCCTCCCAAGTTACTTCTCCTCTTCTTTTACCCACCTGACAGAGGACCCCTGTTCTCTGTGCAGTAAAGCTCGTGTGGAACAGTGGTGGAAAATACAGGTGTGCGTGTGAGAAATGACACGTGAAGACAGCACGCCATGCCTGAAAAGCCGCACACGGTGCTGCTTCTCATGGCTTTATGTCTGTCACCAGGCAGGATTTGTGAGCAGAAGCTGTCCCTAACCACCCTTTCCGCCAAGACAATCAAAGTCATCTTTTCCTTTTCTTGCACCAAACATGCGTATCAAATTGAATTGTTTGATGCCAAGACCGCCTTTAACTATGAGTTCCCGGCACTGAGCTGAGGATGGAGTAGCTTGAACAAACATTTGTTGAATGGATGAAGGAAAGTATGCATGACTGATGGCCGACTTATGAGACCAGGAAGAACCTTGGGAAGGAGATGGGGACAGCCATGTCTTGCCACACAGGTTGTTAAGAAATGATGTGTTATATTGATTTGGGGTCAATGTGGAGTTTGTTAGAAAGGGGTCAAAGCAACACTGAAAGATGGCTCAGCGGTTAAGAGCATTTACTGCTCTTGCAGAACACCGAAGTTCCATTCCCAGCACCCATATTAGGTAACTCATAACCACCTGTAACTCTAGCTCCACGGGATCAGATGCCCTCTTCTGGACTCTGCAGGTTCTTGTCCATACATGCTCAAACTCACACATATAAACACACTAAAAGTAAAATCATTTTTTAAAAAGTAAGGGTCCAGAACACATCTTCTGTTGTTCTTCTGAACATTTTATTTTCTTTTTATGGATGTGTATATGTGTGTAACACACGTGTGTTGGTGCCCATGAAGGCCAGAAGAGGGTGTCCGATCCGCTGGTTGCAGGCAGCCACGAGCCTCCTGATATGGGTGATGAGAACCAAACCCAATGTCCCCTGCAACAGCAGTCAGCCTGTATCGCTTGCTTTTTGATTCATGACTATTTATTTTGCTCCTGAAACATTTCAGCTGGCAGTGACTGTGGCTGAACTAGGGTTAGACTCTCATTTCAGACAGGAGCTGCCCCTGCTCTGGCTTCAGCTAAGGGCATAGTGAATCAGCTATGCTAGAGGCGTGTGTGTAATCCCCAAGCAGTGAGACCTCATTAGCTTTCTGGTGCAAATCTCCCCTTCCCCATCTCTTCCTGGGGAGACTAGGGTTAGAGAGTTGAGGCACACTGTACAGTGGCTCAGAGGCAAGGCTGAGCCCCCAAACAGCTCCTGTGGCTTTAGTTAGAGGTAGGGAGATCACCAAAGGGAACTTGAATGTGGCAGCACAGGAGTGTCGGTGGTGATGCAGGACAGCGTGGGGTTAGAAAGAGCAGGAGCGAGAGGCTGTTGGTGTCTATAGTAAGCCTTTATTGCAAAAATTACTTACTTTTTGAGCCACTGTAGGCTGAATCCTCCTGGGATGGTGAAGAGCAGAGACTAAAATAAAACAGCTTATCTGATCTCTAGTCCTCAGTCTCTATGTCCCCAGCCACCCTTCTGCGACCTGGACCAGCAGGTCATTCTTCAGTGACAGGCTCTTAAGCAGGAGGGCCAGGAGATGAGACGAAGATGGGAAAGCTGGGTCGGGAGGTCTTCATAAGCTGTCTTATGCCAAGCAAGTTTACTAAGAAGTACAGCCACTTATATCCTGTTTTCAGGGAGAAAAGGACCAAGGTCAGCAGAAAACTAAATCAAGCAATGTTGGCAAAGAGAACACGGGATCCCTCAGACATAACTGACTTAGCACTGATAACCACAGCCCTTCAGTGGGGAAAGTGGTTCCCAGGAACCAAGACCTTAATTCCTTGGAGGCCCTGACTCCAGCCCCAACCCAGACCTTGCCATGTTCTCCCCTGGGCAAGCACTCAGACCCTTTGAGCTTTCACCAGGGCCTCCAGGAGAGCCCCGGATTGGTCTGGCTCCCGACACCTCCGGGGAGACAGATTTACGGGAGACAGAAATTCTTGCCTTCCCAGTTTGCTGGTGATTTCCCTTACGGTACAGGACCTTGCAAAGCATTGATCATCACACTTGCTTATTTATGTGTGTGCTCATGTACATGCCATGTGGAAGTCAGGGGACAACTTGTGGCAACGTGCCCGGGAGCCATTTCCCCCTTCGCTCTCGCTAGCCATCAGGTTAGGTGACTTGGCATCTCATGTGCAAGGATCTTCACACATGCACCAGAGCCCAGGGTCTGCAGGATGCCAGCCCCCCGAGCCAAGTTTTCTCTTATTATTTCCTCTTTGGAAATATTCCAATTTCCACATTCAACTCAACTTGTAAAACAATTTACTCCTTGTTTTTTTTTTTTTAAGTCAAAGCCCTCCTCTTTTCTATGAAATAAATCACACCAGACTGTCGTTGTCTCACTTTCATCAATGCTAACAATGAATTGGTTTTATTCGTTCATTTATTTTGTGCATGGGAGTGTGGCATGTGAGCCGCCACGCGTGTGTGGAAGTTGGAGGGCAACTTGCAGGGGTCTGCCGATCTCAGGGATAGAAAACAAGTCGTCAGGCTTGGCGGCAAGCCCCTTTACTCACTAAGCCATGTAGCTGGCCCATTTTTATTTATGAACTGGAGACTTCATCACGGTCCCACCTGGGTACCTGGCCTGTGCGTAAGGTGGGGAAAAAAAGGTAAAAGGCTAGACAGGGTCTTGAATGTTAAGCTAGGCCTGTCAGACTGACGGTTGAAGCCTCATCCCCACACATGTGATACAGATGGATGCTACTTGTGGAACCTTTGCAAAGAGGGGGAGTGTGAACTGGGGAGCAGTGAGCATGGGCTTGATGCCACGGAGCTCCGAAACAACCTGCTTTCAGTCCAAGAGCAGTGAGCACGGGCTTGACGCCACGGAGCTCCGAAACAACCTGTTTTCAGTCCAAGAGCAGTGAGCACGGGCTTGACGCCACGGAGACCCGAAACAACCTGTTTTCAATCCCTGAGACCCAGACTCCTGCGAGCGATTCTCTAATTTACACACACCCGCAGCCTCCCCCCCACCCCCAATTTAGCCCTTATGTGGGCAAGAACAAGCTACAGACATCTGAATACATATAGTTCATCTTGAGCCTCTGTGTCTTCATCAAATGGTGGGGGTGGGGAGTCACAGTAAGTTTTTATGAGGGTTCTCTGAAGCACATTTAATAAAAACTCAGAGACAGAAATTGGGGTTCAATCTGAAGGTCAGAAAAGCAAAACAATCAGCCACTGACTCTTACCTTGACCTCAGTCCGGAATGGCGATCCTGCCTCCAGGAATCTCAGAATGAGACTGAGAGTTGTCTCCTCCCATTTTATAATCTTTGAGTGACAATAGTCTTTGCTGTGAGTTGGAGGGCAGAGCTAGCCACTAGCTGATCAAAATTAACCATAGAGGTTTGACAGACAAGGGCAGATAGGAGACAGGAAGTAGTAAGGCAGGGCTGAGGGAATCTCAATCATTTTGGGACTGAGGAATGGAAGCGGGAGGGAGTCACTGGTGGCTTCTCTGATCATTCTGGTTCTTACCCCATATCTGACTCCCAATTTTTTTTTATTGATAAAGAATAATTAGATAAACGCTTCAACACCAGTGAGTGCTTATATTGTTTTTTATTTTTCTCTCTCACATCTCCTCTGTTGTAAGAGCCAATTAGTGAATAGTACTTAGAAAATGCGAACTGTGTGCCAGGAACTTTGGGGTTTTCAGTCAAGGAGCCTGAATGCTGTGCACACTGCTGGATGACCGGTATGTATGACATATGGATGACAGGCTTTAGCCACATGGAACACGTGTGTGGAAGAGGTTCATGTAGTGAGAACAGCTGCATTCACTCAGCACATGTGTGAATGTGGCCCCCTGAGTAAAATCCGTAGGACGCACGAGTCTGTCACCAGGGTGTGGCTCATGCACACACTGCACCTGTTTCTCTGGGGGACATGTACAGAGGCATGTTCGTGCCTGTCTCACAGCATCAAGTGATGCATGCCCATCAATCCAAACATATGTGTTTGTTTCTGGATCACTAGAGGCACACAGAACATGTCCAGTGTGTACCCATGGTGACAGGGCATGGATCCAGGGTTTTAGGAAAAATGTTTGTGTTAATGGTGCCATGTATTTAATTGCAATAAGTGATTTAACTACATGAGTAATTTATATGATATTTATAATTTATATACTTATATGATAAAGTAACTTTTAATTACTTATTAAATGCTTTCTGATTTTGTGAATGTTCCATGTGTGATAATTTTATCATCACAAAACCCTTAGGGACCTGGTCCTGTTGGTTCTTCCATTGTAAAGATGACACAGTTGAGGACAAGAGGCTTGAAGGAAGCCATGTAAGCATGGAACTAGAAAAGGACAGAGCTCGGGTCTGACTCCAGATGTTTTGATTCTGGGGCCTGGGCTCGAAGGGACTGTTTCATTCCAGTAACGATTTCTACCTCTAGCATCGCCACTGCGCAGAAACTAAACATGGCTATGTTTTCCCCAGGTGGCCTGTTCGGATTCCGCATCAGCAAGACGCCTTGGATCCCATGTGAACTTTACCATGGCGTATGCAGAAATTCCTGTGAGAAATATGAGATCCAATACTTAACCTGCCCAAAGAACAGAAAATGCTGCCTCAAATTTCCTACGTAAATTTCCAGTCCCTAACTCTGTGAAGAAGTCCGGTTTGCCCACTGCAAATGCTTCAAGCTACTCTCAAGTTTGAATCAAGCATCATCCCTTCCTGTTGTAATTTCTCCCATGATCTGTAATGCTCTCCCGTAAAAAACACACACTCCTTCTCATGCGTGTCTCTCTCTGTTCATGGCCGTCACTGGCCAGGGCTATCACTGACTTTAAGCAAGAGGTTGCTTTAAAGCCTAAGTACTGTTACTCCAGGACTTGTGCCAGATGCAACGGATCTGCTGGCTCCCTCGCTACACCTGTGGGTCAAAAGAAACCACTAGATGACCAACGAGCACAAGCTTTTTAAATCTTCCTATCTTTTCTCTGTCTTAGAGAAAAGCTTCCATTGCTGTGGCAAGATGCATGACCACAGCAGCTCTTATAAGCAAAAACATTTAATTGGGGCTAGCTTGCAGTTCAGAGGTTTAGTCCTTGTAACCGTGCTGGGAAGCATGGCACATGCAGGCAGACATAGAGCTGGAGAGGTAGCTGAGAGTTTTACATCTGGATCTGCAAGGAGTAGGAAGAGAGAGTGACACTGAACTTGGCAGAGCTTTTAAAACCTCCAAACCTTCCCCCAGTGATACTTCCTCAAACAAGACTCCACCTAATGGTGTCAACTCCCTAACCAAGCATTCAAATATATGATCCTATGGGGGTCATTCCTATTCAAACCATCCCTTCGATTTTCTCTTCTTTCTTTTTTTTTTACGACAGTCTAGTCCAGACTGGCCCCAACTTCTCAATGTCCCTGCCTCAGTCAACCAAATGCTGGGATTACAGGTGTGTACCACTCTATGCTACTTGGTTGACCTTCATCTTAGGATACATAAAAGGGCTTAGGAGCCTAGCGGGAAAAGAAAAGGATATTTTGGTCCTTGAAATGAATTGATATTAAGATCATTTGTCACACCAAAAGGTAGCACTTGGCAGAAGCCAGGTTTCAAGGCAGAACAAAGAAATTTGGGCACATAATAAAGAATTTAAAAGTAGAGAAAAATATTTAATATTTGGAAGCTATTGATCCTGGATTCAGCATGTTAGGTGAGATGTGTTCCTGTGCAGTATTTAGGGACAAAAATGTGGTTATGGAGTTCTCCATTTAAAGCTCAGCACCCCACTGCTCTAATTTCTTCCATCTTAGACAAAGAAAATGACAGAGTCTGCAGGTTCATCCCTTCCATTACAGCTCAGGAGCTAGGAAGTCTTGGGCAGCTCTGTATCTCATAGTCATTGACTGCACAGCCAGAGTCCCATTCCGATCCTAGGTTCACATATTCAACCCAGAGTGGGTGTCCATGCTCCAAAGCCACACCTCGGACTGCATTTCACTGTATCTTCTTAGGTTTCTCTTCCATCTCAGACACAGAATGCTCCCAAGTGATTTCCAGAGCCACACATGGCCTTTCCTCATCCGCGGTCCATACTGGTCCTGTTTCTCTGTCCAGGGACACAGAAGCCACTCTCTTGGCGGCTCACACCAAGTCATGCCACAGCCATCACAATGACGGTAGCTCCCACTTCCAAACTCGTCTCAATTTAATGATGAAATTTTCATTTGAATAATTAGGTGAACTCACCATTCAGCCTCAAACTTCTCAGCTAATGAGGAAGCCCTTGATTAGTGACATCATTCCAATCGTGTTGTGGGCATATCTCCCAGGGACACTAATAGCCATGTGAACCTCTGGCGTTCCCTTTCACGAAGCTGTTCAAAAGCTTTGTAGAAGTGGGGACTAACTTCTCAGAAACCCGGAGTCATCACAGAAATTCATTTTGAAGAGTTAGGCAAACCAAGAGATAGGAGGGAGTTTTTCTGAATGAGCCCGCTTGATTCTCACCTGATAGGATGGGCAGCTTCGAATGTCACTGCCTTTCAAAATGTCAGTCAGGGGGCTTTCACGGCTGTGTCCTCTTGGCAGGAGATTTGCTCCCCAAGCTCTGATGTAGGAAAGAGGAACCCAAAGTGGAACTTCATACTGTGACCATAGGAAATAGAGAAGACACGGGATTTTCCCTGGCAAACCATGCTTTCTGCATGGTCTTGCCCATCTTCACGGAGAAGGCCTCACCACACCCACCCACTGGGGTTTCTGAAGCTCTGTGTCTTTGCTTCCTCCCCCTTTAAGTAGAAGAACTCTTGCTGTTTGGTCTTCTGTCATCATTTTAAGCTGAGTGTGTGTAGGGCACGGGGGAGCTTTGGACTGTGGTTCACTGAACTAAGAGGTGATTATGAAGGAGTGGCCTCAGAATGGTAGTGACTAATGATTCTCTTTCTTTTTTTTCAATTTTAATTTATTCAAATCACCAAAACTTCATATCTACTTTTTTTTTTTGGATGATGAAAACATGTTGGCTTTAGATATATTGTAGGCACATTCAAAAGACAGAACTTTCATGGGTACAAAACTTAAAGGATGTACCATACTGAGTTGGCTATGTCACTGAGTCAGAGTCCATCTGTCAACTATGCTCCTTACTACACTGTGCTTTATCACGCTGGTCACTTAACTGAACCAAGTTAAATGGATTTTGTGTGTCTCCAGATTCCCCAGCCCTATTGTTTCCCAAGGCTTCGGCCATTCACCCATGGGTTATGTCTGACCATCATAGATATAACCTTCACTCCTCCACCTTCCAGCTATGCCACTCTTTCGAGGAGGCCGGGTGGACACCTGCACTGTGCTCATCCGCTGGAATGGGAGCTGCAGAAGGTCTGTGGAGCATCTAGGGAGGTCTTACACTGTGGGGAATTAGATTCACCGTAGCTGCCCATGAAGTGTTGGTGGGAGGGTGAATGCAGATGAGGCAAACTGACCAAGAAAGAGGTAAGATAGTTAGTTTCCACTTCTTGCGTCTTCTCGTTGACCAAGTAACTAAGTCTTTCTCATGAAACTGTGCTTCTGGTAACATCTCCACCTACACCCTGGAATTGCCAAATGAAGTGTCAGGACATATGTTTTGCATTATACCTACTTTCGTGGCAGGTTTGCCAAGGTGAAACATCCTTGAAGGAAGCCCCTTGAAAAGTTTAAAAAGAAGGCTTAAGACTCAGGTAGTGAACAACTCAAAAGTCTCAGGAAGTCCCTGAAATGTACCAGATTCACAAGACACCCCCACAAGGTTACATAAGCAGTAAAGAGGTTGAAGAGACACTCTGACTTGTCAATTTTCCTGTGAGTTAAGTAAATGAGAGAATATGGGGGCCAGATAGTACCCTGGTGGGCAGGCAGATAGGAAAAGACACCATAAATAAACAATATGGCACACTTGCTGCTTCTTCTTCACCCAGGACAAATATTGGCAGAGTTCCTTGACACTTCCCTCAATATGGTGGGCACTCTTGCAGCTGACCTGCCCAGATATGTCCCAGGCAGGCCCTGGACAGGAGTATGGACCAACCATCTTCTTCTCCGTTGTTCAAATTAACTGATCCAAAATGAGGGGAGGAGGACCATCTCAGGCCACCAGAAACACTTCCAACCCACAGCCCACCACAAAGAAACAGAGCTCAGCTGCTGTATCCCCTCCTCACTTGTGAGGTGTGTGTGTGTGTGTGTGTGTGTGTGTGTGTGTGTTTGTGTGTGTGTGTGTGTGTATGTGTGTGTACACTCTTGCTTTTAGACTTGTTACCTCTCCAGGACAATTATTTATTTCCTACTTTTTCATTCTTCAATCAGTGGAGAAAAGGAACCTGACCCAAGAGCCCTAACTGGCAACACAGAGAGCTCCAGAGTTCCAGGTTTTGTGAACTTTCGCCCATTTGGGTGGGCGTCTGGTGATGCAGCTGCCTTTGAGTGGTTCATGCTCCCATAAGTAACCCCTCACCCTTCCCTCATCCCCCACCTTAGTTTTGAGACTAGGCCTCTCACTGAACCATGAGCTTGCTGTTTCAGTTAGATAGGCTGACCAGCCAGCCCCAGGGAGCCACCTATCTCCACCTTCCCGATGCTGGATGACAGACATGTGCCGCCATACCCAGCTTTTATATGAATATAGGGGATCTGAACTCAGGTCTTCATGCTTAAATGGCAAGTGCTGTACCCACGGAGCCATCTCCCGGGTCTGGCTTATTTCCCCTTTCTTTTCTGTTTGTAAATGAAACTGTAAGGTGGTTTTCTGGGGTGTAGTGTTCAGATTTAGGGATGGGTGCTGACACGGTTAAACTCAAGACCCAGGGATCTAAAAGTGAGCCTGGAAGCAAGCATCATCCATCCAGGGTTTCTTCGCCTCGAGTCCTGCTTCTCGTAACAGTGTTCTGGAATCTGCAAACCAAAGACACTCTTTCCCCACAAGTTGCTCTTAGTGGTGGTGCTGACAATACTGTAGCAGCAGAAGGCAAACCAGATCAGAGCAGTGCTGTTGATTAGGTGCCAGCCACTGCTGTGGAAAGTACTTTAACAATATAAAGGTGTGTTTCATTTGTTTCTGCGGCATTTGCTTAATTATGAAAAGATGTGGTGCATTTGCTTCCCCTTGCCTGCCTAAGGCACCTGATTGGTCTAATAAAAGGCTGAATGGTCAATAGCTAGGCAGAGGAGGGATTGACAGGGTTGGCAGGTTGAGAAAATAAATAAGAGGAGGGATCTAGGCTTGAGAGAGAGAGGAGGAGGAGGAGGAGAATTGAGAAGAGGAGAAGGAGAAGAGGAGGAGGAGAGGGAGGGAGGAGAAGGAGAATGAGGGAGACATGCATGCCTGGGGCCAAAAGCCGGAGGCTGCCAGACAGACAGACAGCCATAGAGACAGTAGAAATAAGATCCACAGAAGAAAGAAGCAGTAAGAAGCCCAAGGCAAAGATAAAGAGAAACAGGGTAATTTAAGGTGAAAGAACTATCCAGAATGGAGCCTGCACCAGGCCAAGCAGTCATAACTTGTAAGAAGTCTCCATGTTATGATTTGGGAGCTGGCTGATGGCTCAAAATGAAAAGCCTGGTACAAGCCACCTTCTAATTCCTTTTGGAGTCAAAGTCCTCCACGAGTCTGGAACTCAACACATGGGAAAGGCTGGCCAGTCAGTGAGTCTCCCATCCTGCTCCCCAACACCAGGACTGAAAGCACCCAGCTTTCCTAAGTGAGCACTGAGGGTCAAATGCAGGCCCTCAGGCGTATACACCAAGCACTTCACCAACCGAGCCATCTCCCCAGCCCCACTTTGAAATTTTTAAAAGCAAAATTAAAACTTTCAGATTTGGACTTCAGGGCAACATTTAGGACATGACTGTCATAGTGTGTTTGCATTCGTTTGATTGCTATCATTAAAAAGTACCACCAACTGGGTGACTTGAACAACTAAAGTTTTATTTTCTCACAATTCTGAGGACAAAGTCCAAAGTGTGAATATCAGTAGAGCGGGATCTCTTTGGCATCTCTCCTTGGCTGGCCGATGACCAGGGTCTTCCTGGGTCTTAGCAAAACTGTCCTGTGTGTCATAATGATTTGCAAACAATTAGGTCTGAACCTCCTCTCATGAGAACACTAATCAGACAGCATCAGGGCCCACCCGAACAATCCCAATGTACTTCCATTTCAGAGATGAGTGGAAGCCACAATTGGTAAGGAGGCTTAGCCTGCCCTCAAGCTGGGAGTCTGACATGATATGTACCATTCTTTGTACCGTTCTTTGCCCATTCTTTGGCTGGGGGCAACTGAAATAGTTTCGACTTTGATATTTGGACACAGCAAACAGTGAAGTCCCCACATCTCTCTTTCCTCGTCTCACTTGACCTGCATTCATGTCTGCATTTGCCCCTTCCATAAAAGCACTTTTTCAGCCATCCGTCTGTCAAAGAGAGCAGAGAGGAATTCTGAACTATGTGAGGAGGACACACCCGTATATCCTGAGGATGTCGGCAGGCCCGTGAGAACGGTGGGTTCCGGGGGGGTATTGAGACCCCAATGTAAATTACAAATTCTCTCTCCTTGTCTTCCCCCAAAGTTCTCTCCTGGGAGGTAAGCTGGTGTCCTCTCTCATCAGGACACTCAAACCGGAAAATCAAGTTCATCTCCACTTCCCTTTCCACATCAGCATCCCATGAGCCCCTGCACTGACGCTCTCTGAAATGCCTCATAGCCGCAGCTCCCTCCTCTTGTCTCAATTGTTCTCTCTGGAATTTAGCCCGGTTTGCAATCAGTGCCAACCAAGAATAGATTTTTTTCTTCTTCCCTTCCCCCTTTCTCTAGAGCAACAACAAATGATTGGCAAAGACCTTCACCTTGCAAGGTTGACCCAACAGCAAGTGATGAAGCTGGGGTGGGGATCTGGCTCAGGGGGCGAAGTACTTGCTACCTAAGTATGAGAATGTCAGTCTGGGCTGTCAGTTCCCACATAAAAGTTGGGCACAGCAGCACACATCTGTAACCCCATCACTGGGGCAGTGGGACCAGGTAGATCTCTGGGGTTACCGGCCAGCCAATCTAGCCAATCTGCGAGTTCCAGGTTTAGAGAGGGTGCTGTCTCAAAAACTAAGGTGGTACCAGGCATGGTGGGCACGTCTTTAAGTCTCAGAACGAGGAGGGCAGTGACAGGTGGATCTCTGAGTTTCAATGAAAGCGAATTCCAGGACAATCAGGGCCATACAGTGAGACACTATCCCAAATAATAATTAATGATCATCCTCTTATTGCGTGGAGCGTGACTAAGGAAGACATCTGATGATCGATGGCTGCTATGCACGTTCAGTCTGAAATCCAGACTCTCCTACTCTAACGACAGCTTCATGTCTTTAGCCCACGATGCACCAATGTCCACCCACACATTTCCCACTACGTGTTCTAAGAACAATATGCCTCCTCTGCTTGCTTCAAGGGAGAGGTGCAGTAAATATACTACCTACTGTAAGGCATGGTACCAGTGGAGGAGACTGAAGTGAGAGACTGGGTTCAGACAGGGGATACTGGGTACAGAGGCACTAAGGTGCGCTGTAGGGGGTGGGGAGGGCGCTACCTTGAGGCACTTGGTTTTTCTGTGCTTGCATTCCCCAGCATCCCTAAAAAGAAGCATCACTGTGGCCACAGGCAGCCCACAGGAAAGCACATCCGGGCCTCCTTGGCACCCTCCACCCTCCCCGTCTCTTCTCCTGCTTCCTGTTGCCTCCTACCTTCCTCTGTTACCTCCTCCCTTATACCCTTTTCTCTACTGCCTTACTTCTCACCTCTTCTACCTCTCTCCTCTGTTCCTTCCCTTCTCTCTTTCCTCCCTCCTAGCACCCCTTCTTCTCCTTTTTCTTTCCTTCCTCCCTCCCCTCCTTCCTCCCAGCTCTGGAAGGTGAACTCAGAGCCTCACACGTTCCCCAAGCAACTCTACCACCAAGCTAGATCCAATACCAAAGACCAGGCACAGTATGGCTCTCTCTCCGCAGACCCCAGCAACTCCTGCTTTCCCAAAGGGTAGCGTGGTACTCCCTTTCCCCTTCTCACCACTGCTTAGTTACCTGGGGAAGTATGAGCCAGGACCACAAGGACAGCTAAAGTCAGAAACCAGAGCTTAATGTGTCCTGAGAGGGCTGAGGAGCGAGTCGGCAGCATGCTGAACGTGCTGGGAAAATTCCGACTGCTTTTGGTTTTAATGACCGAGGTAGGGCCTAGTCACGGGCAATAAATCCGAGGCTGGCAGAGAGTTGCACCACCCGGACTGCCTTCTGCAGGTCACCGCTGAAAGCAGCTCATGCAGTGTGCAGGGTCAGCTCTGGAATCCCTCTGGCAAGGGGCCAGCGAGCCTGCTGCTTTGTGGACAGTGCAGATCTGGCCCCCAAGAAGTCTTCCCTGCCGCTCTCCTGCCTGGTTCTGCCCCATGTTTGCCACAGGTGGAGCTGAGTTTTTCTAGCTCACAGTCCCACACACTGGTGGCCTCGAGGACAGCTGTGAGCCTGAGAGCCCTGCAGGGGCAGACTAGTGTCATCTCTATGTCTAGCACGTGCGGAGCTGATGCTGTTAAACTTGGGCAGTATTCCAACATCAGCACCGACTGGACTCATAGGGTCAGCAGTAATAAACAGCAATAGAAGGGGAGAGGTTGAGGTCATGTTGGGGTGCAGGGTGTGTGTGGAAAGGAGTGCTGGGGTGGGTAGAATCAAGGTACCCTGTTTACGTGTTGAAATTGTCAAACAAATAAAAGGATTTCTTTTAGAAAGCATTGACTGGGCAGGCAGGTGGGGTGTAGATGGGGCTCAGTTGGCAGAGCTGGCCTGGCAGGAGCCCAACCTTCATCTCCATTCCAGGACAGGGGAGGTAGGTGAAGGCAGGAGGATCAGAAGTTCAAGGTCATCCTCAATTGTGGAGTGAGTTCAAGGCCAGCCTGGGCTACGTAAGAGCCTGTACTCAAATAAATAAAAAGCAAGAGGAAGAAGATGGAGAACAAACAATGTATGACCTTTATTCATATACCGCAGATCATGTGCAGAGTCAAAGGGTGAGCAAGGAAGAAACAAGCTGGGTGACAGCTCGTGTGTGTGTGTGTGTGTGTGTGTGTGTGTGTGTGTGTGTGTGCACATGTGTGTGTGTGTTGTGTAATAATATAGTAATGTGGTATGAATGTATGTGTGAGGTGTTCGTATGGCATGCTGTGCATGTATCTGTGATATGTGTGTGGTGTGACATGGTGTGAATGTGTGTGTGTGTGTGTGTGTGTGTGTGATGTGGCATGTGTAGATACTTTAGGCAGAGTAGTTGAGAAAGAAATCTATGAGGAAGTGACATTAAATGAAACCTGAATGTCCAGAGGACTTGACTCACCTAAATATAGAGTCTTCCAGGCAGAGAGAACAGAGAGGGCCGAGCCCCAAGGCAGGAAAGCTCAAGGCTGAAATCCCAGAAATGACAGGGCCACTTGCATCAGACCTTACACAGCCTTGTGGGATTTGTTCCGAATGAGATATGGGGCCAGGGTTACTTCTAAGTGATATTTCAAATCTGACTTCATTTTCTCCACCTGAAACATATCTGGGCTGGATGACATGCCCCTGGTGTGTGCTGGTGTCGCTGGCAGCGTCATTTGTAGGTGGCAAAGAAAAGCATATTTAATTCTCACAGGAGGACAAATCAGAGCCCAGATCTGGTGCTATTTTACACAACGTCGTTCAGGTTGGCAAAAGGGGGCGATCGCTGGGGAAACATGTGAAACATCAGGCTGTAGATGGCCTGGCAAAGAGTTCATAAGATGAAAGCCAAACAAGGTTTGTGAGGAAAAACTGCTAATGATCATTCTATGGAACTGGAGACTGGAGCTCAGGGAGGGCGGCTGACTTTCTTGGGGACACGCGGTACTAAGATCCTTTCCGGTCACTCAAACCTCCACCTCACTATCTATGATCTCTAGAAACTGACTGGGTTTCCATCTTTTGAAATTTTGAGAATGCTGAGTGTGTGGAATCTTAGTCTGTGGCCTTCTGACTTTTTTTTATTTGGGCTTTGTTCCTTTCATTGCTGAGTGATAGTTCACAGTATGAAACATTTATGTCGTATTTTCTAGGATGGAAGTATTCTCACTTTTTTGCTTTTTGAGGCAGCATCACGCTGTAGTAGCTCAGGCTGGCCTTCAACTCATGGCGTAACCCCAGCTGGCCTCAAACTCCATCCTTGTGCCTTGAGCTCCCGAATGCAGCGATCCACCCAGCTGCATTTCACACTGTTTTCATTCTAGAATATTGTGTCTTCCTGGTCTCACACTATACTCTTTTTTTTTGTTTGTTTTTTGTTTTTCAAGACAGGGTTTCTCTGTAGCTTTGAAGCCTGTCCTAGAACCAACTCTTGTAGACCAGGCTGGCTTCAAACTCACAGAGATCTGCCTGCCGCTGCCTCCCAAGTGCTGGGATTAAAGGCATGTGCCACCACCACCTGGCTCAAATTGTACTTCTTCACTGGCTAATGATGTTGGACATCTTTCAAGTATTTGTCATTTATAATCTCCTTGACTAAATGTCTATCATTGTCTTATGCCCATTGTCTATATAAGCTGATTTTGATTGTTTAATTTCCAGAGCCCCCCTTTTTGTCATTAGACATAAACTCTTTACTGTATACATAGTTTGAAAACTGTTGCAGTATGAAAGATTTCCACACTAGCCCAGAATGGAGTATAACAAAGGGTTATTTATTGGGGATAAACAGAAAGGGTAGCAATCTGCAGTCCTATGTGTGCACTGGGAACTGGAACTGAATCCAGCAGCCAAGAGGGCCTAGCACACTTCACATCTGCATATATAGTACATGAGACCACACCTGAAGTGGGCCAGTATCTTAAAGGCTATTGGTTGAAGGAGTTCCCACAACACCTCCCCCTCTTATCTAAATAAAAGAGTTTAAGCCTAATACAAAACTATATACAATAAGAACAAATATCAAGTATAAAAATTAGAATTATAACCAGCATGAACAACATCAAGCAAGAAACATATACTAAATGTTTTAACAGTTATTTTATCCCAAGGAGTCTAAGTCTTATATTAGAAATGTCTTAGCAAAGTCATAAGAGGAAAGTAACTACAACTATCTAGTCTTCAACCCCATTGAAGACATGAGAAGGGAGATAGTATTACTTGAGTAAACAGGGAGTGTAATCAAGCAGTTTTTACAAGTAGCCAGAGACAACTGGCTACTTGAGCAATCACCCAAAGTATCACTTGTAATGTTGTGGCAACCAACTTTGGTTAAGGCCTAGAGTAACTGACAGTCCATTTTCAGAGGCAGGAAAAATTTAAAAAACCATCTTACCCTGTCTTGGCAAAGATACAGGTCTTTTTGCTTGTATCCTGCTTGTGCAGTCTGGACACCATGCATTTTGTCAGTGGTTGAGGTGGGGGTAGTTCTTTGCCCAAAGACCAGTTTTGCCCAGAAGAAAACAAGCTCCAAGTGGAGTGTCTTCGGTTGGTGCCCAACATTTTCTTGGGAACAGATTGTTGCTGCCAGGAGTAATCATGTTTCACATCAACAGAATCCTAAATTATCTAAATGCCATATTCTACAGTTCTTTGAAGTGGTTGAAGATTACCTATCTATGTGAAATATAATCTCTATATATCTAAAGAACCTGATTAGTCTAACTATATTTATGGCAAACATGGATGATTATTGACTTATAATTCTTAATATCTATATAGCTTAAAGACTAAAACTTCATATTAAAACATTAATCTTTAAACCAATGTGGAGCAAATGAGGACAATGACCTCAAAATATAAATGATGTATAAGTATCTTGATCAGAGGTAGAAATGTATGTTGCAATATGATAAATATATCCTAAAATTGTGTCAATATACAAAATGTCTTAAGCAGAGGTAGAAACATGCATGCATACAACATGACAAAATGACTTTTTATAGGTGCATAAATATTGTAAACAGAAATAGAAGTATATTCAATATAGAAAATATAATTTGAATTTATATCAATATACAAGAATCTATACCAATATAAATTGTCTATAAATAATAGCTCACAAGTATTCTCACTATTACTCACTAATCTACCTATTTTCCTATCCAATCCCCCATGCTTTTTCTTAAAGAGATCCCTCAGCCTACTTAATTTTCAACCCCAACCCTATATAAGTTATAACCAACCCCTAATAGATGTTCCCTAACCCTGAGGACAAACTTTTTGGAAGAGGGGATAAACAGAGACTGCTCACTCATTTCCCAACCACCCAGACCTGAATAATCATACAGAAACTATATTAATTACAACACTGTTTGGCCAATAGCTTAGGTTTATTTCTACCTATCTCTTATGTCTTAAATTAACCCATTTCTATTCATCTGTGTATCACCACAAGGCTGTGGTTTACCAGGAAGTTTCCGGCAGCTACATTTTTCTCCTTTGGCAGCTACATGGCATCTCCTTGACTCCACCTACTCTCTCTACATATCTCTGTTTGGATTCCCCCCCTGGCTTTACTCTGCTAAGTCATTGGCCAAAACAGTTTTATTTACTAACCAATAAAGCAACACACATTCAGAAGGACATCCCACATCAGAAAACAATTCCTCGTAGTCTTTAGTTTTCCTTTAAGTTCATTCAAAGGTGTGTTCCATCTTTAATCTTAGCTCAGGAGGCAGAGGCAGGCTGATTTCTGTGAGTTTGAAGCCAGGCTTGTCTACATAGTGAGTTCCATGTCAGTCAGGGTTACAGAGTGAAACACTTTTTCTTAAAAAAAAATTATACTCCCCTCATGACATTATTGACTTCTAGTTTTATCTCATTGTGGTAAGAAAATATATAGACTATCTTTTAATTTTTAATTTTTGAATATTTGTTTTGTAGCTTAAAGTGTGGCATATTCTAGAAGTTCCATGTCTGTGCACAATGGGTAGTTCTGCGATGACCATTCTGTCCATCTGGTCTCCAACACACCTCACTTCTCCAGCCTCTACATTGGTCTCTGCTTACTGTGCCCACTAGTGAGAGTGGAGTGTTGAAATCTCTCACTGTTATTGCACTGAAACTTATCTTTCTTTACCTTTGGGTCTGTTTTATAGAACTGAATGTCCTTCATTAGGTACACAGATAATTGTAAGAATTGTATCATTT